TTCTTCCGAAACATTTTGCTTTCTCTTGTCTTTTCAGTGACCAATGTCTTCCTGGTTCCATCTTTGCAGGCTGCATCTTTACTGCACCTTGCTTTCTGGCCAAACTCACAATGTTTTGACTCATTCTGCTGGGCTTTTTGATCTTAATTCTCAACATAGATCTGCCTGAAAGCTCCCAGCAGCAGCCATGCCATGGTCTCAATACTATACTGCCTTGAAATTTTTTTCTGCAAGATGAATCAGCAGAAAAATCTTTAATCTTTAATCCACCTTTAATCTTAGTCTCAGACAAAGTTTCTAGACATGAGCAAAATGCAGATAAACTTTCTTCCAAGAATCCAACAACCAATGTGTTCTTTCTTCCAAGCAGAAACCTTCCAAGCCTGGTCTTTCCTGGAAGGATTTCAATCAGCCTTCTGGTCTTCTGAGCTCAGGCCAGAATCTCCCATCAACTACACCCTAAAGTGTTCCAGCTCTGCTTTTTTAGTTGACATCTCCAAACCTTTCCAAACTATTCCCACAAGCCAGTCTCAAAGGCTCCTGAACTACATGGTCAGGTATAGTCATAGCAATGACCCCTCTTCTCTGGTACCAAATTCTGTCTTAGTTACTTTTCTCATTGATGAGACAAAATACTGACTCCAAAGTTAAAGGAGGAAAAGTTTATTTTTCTCACAATTTATAAAGATTTCAGTCCATATTTGGATGGGCCCAAGGCAGGGTGGCATGGTAGACAGGCGTCATAAGAGCAAAAACAGTTCATGCTGGGCAGAAGGTAGCAAAACAAGCCAGTAAGCTTTTTCTTCCCAGTGTGAATATTCATCTTCTGATTCTAAGGTATTAACTTCCCTCATAGGACAGCTTTCACTGTGTCTCACATGTTCTGATACGTTGTACTACCATTGTCATTTCATTTCAGAAATTGTTAAATATCTTCCTTGATTTCTTCTGTGTCACATTTAGTATTCAGGAATATGTTATTTAATGTCCAGTGGTTTCCAAAATTTCTGTGATTTCATTGGTAATTGATATCTAGTATTAGTGTATTATGATATGATAGTATACATGAAACAATTTTGATGTTTTTGTATTTATTTACGCATTTTTATGGGATCGAAGTGGTCAGTTTTGGAGAAAGTTCTACATACTGCTGAAAAGGTTTTCTATGGTAGAAGAGTAGAATAATCTATAGATATACATTAAAGTAAAGGTTTGCTAAATTTCTCATATCTCTTTGTTCAATTTTTGCCTTGTTTATTAGTGAAAATTGGGTGCTGAGTTCACCCATGATGATTGTGCTGCTGTTTGATTTCTCAAGTACAGTACTGTGTTTTATGAAGATGGGTGCATCTATATAATATTCAATGAATATATAGAATTCTCATCCCTGTCTGTTCAACTGTTACTTTAATATATGGTGACATTCTTTGCCCCTTCTTAATTTTACCTCGAAGTATACTCTTCAGAGAATAAGATTGTTACACTTGCTTGGCTTTTGTGTCCTCATGCGTGGAGTACTTTCCATCTTTTGATTTTAGTGTTTGAATTTCACTTGGATTGGATGTGTCTCTTGAATGTACCCAATCATTGGTTTTATTGTGTGATGCAGTCTTTCAAAATGTATTGTTTATGGGGGAGTTGAAGTCATTTACTTTAAGAGTTATTACTGATAGGTAGAGACTTTTTCTTGTCATTATGCTATTTTTCAATTGTTGACTTATATTTTTCATTTACTAACTACTCACCCTTCTTTATGTATTCATTTCATCAGACATTTTAGCTGTGTTGGCTTCATTGTCTGTCTAGGATATCCTTCAGAATTTTTTGGAGGGCTCATTTGATGGTCATAGATTTCTTAAAGTGTCCTTCTTCATGGAATGGCCTTATTTTTGCATCAGTTTTGATAGTTTTATAAAATGTTATTTTAAGTATATATTATTTAATTTAATATATATTAAAGTTGTTTTGGGAGTTTGGGGGGCTTTAAACAGTTCAAGCTTATCTATCATTTAAAGTTTGTGTTGATAACTCTGCTTTAATCTTAAAGGGTTTGCTTACATAGGTGATTTTTTTTTTGGTTCATATTTTAATGACAGCATTTAAGATTCTGTCCATGTTTTAGGATTTTTCTCTTTGTAATTATTTGAGTTCTATAAGCCTTATTTACTTTTGTGATTTATTTCCCCATACTTTGAATGTTTTCTACTATAATTTTTATAGATTCTTTTTATTCCATATGTTCTCACTTCTAATTTTTCTCTAACTCCTATTGTTCTTAAATAGGTCTTTGCATAAACTAGTAGGTGCTGGATCATTTTTTTTTTTGCTTTTATGATGTTTGCAAACTATCCTTAAGTATATCTATATTCATGATATACACTCTCTCTGCACATTTTTCACTTTTGCAGTTCATATTTTCTGAAGAAAATTTTATCTCCAGAATTTCTATTTGCCACTATTCATGGACTCTAAGTCTTTGATAAATCTGTCATTCATACTTCTAATTATTGTGGACAGGTCTTCTAATTTTGTAGTCAACATTTCATTAACTACATTGGTCAGTCTTTTAATTTCTCTATCTATTTGGCTATGTCATCATTGAACTCACTGAGTTTCTTTGCTTTTTCAAACTCTGACAACTCAGATACTTCGTGTTTGACTTTCTCCTCACCAGGCCCCTTTAGGACTGCTTTAGGAAAGTTAGGAATCTTTGGAAGAATATATTGCCTTGGTTTTTTTCATGTTCCTATATTTTGTGCTGGGGATTGAGGTCAAATTGAATCAAGTGATTTTGTTGTTTTTATGAATTTCTCTTTAGTGAGTTTCTTTTTTCCAATTATGTGATCTCGGCTTTATTTATCAAAAGGTTTTTTGTTTAGCACTTCATCCTGTTTACTTCACTTGGGCTGGGCTCAGTCACTGTGCCATAACTGGAAATTCCTATTGATTATAATCATATCCACAGATCCAGCCAGAAATCACTAATATCAATCATGAACATTAAAACTGGTTTGCACAATGTCAGTGGTGTCTCACTCAAGTTTTGAGATGAGAAGAACCTGGAATCTAATTCCAGAAGAAGAGGTGAGTAAACCAGAACCTGGTAACCTTTATTTGGTGAGCCATGTTTAGAAACCAGCTACTCGATGGCATTTTCATGTAGCCAGCCAGGAGATTAGGATGAGTACATCAGTCAGTGTGTGCTGAGGGTTGGAGACCAATTAGAGTGGAGCAGTTGTGCAGCTACTATGTAGATTTCTTTACTGTCTGCTCTCCACCTATGTATTCTTCACTTTGGTTGCTTTTTGTTGTGCAATTTAATGGGATCAGACCCATCTTTCTGCTGTAAGGAAGATCCCTATAGTTTATATCAACTTCAATAGATCCACATACATTGAAACTTGGTTTAACAATTTCATCTTTTTATGAATGACCCATAGAGTTTATAGTATAGCACTACTAACAGGTAGACAAGGATGTGTCTGGTAAAGGAAAGGAAAAGGAAAAGGAAAAAGAAAAGAGAAGGCAGTCTGTCAGACAGAAAAGAAAAAATAATTACAATGACTGAGATAAAGAAAAGAGATCAGTATCTGTTGATAATATTTTTATATTATTAGAAGGCTGGTGTATAAGATGTTTGAGAATAATTGTGAGGACAAAAGGTATGCTGAGAGAGGGAAGGATAACTGTAGATTGAGGGAAGCTATGAGAAGGTCTGAGCTTGCTAATTCTATAAAGAATTCAGTAGCAGTGGCAAGACTTTCAGGACATAATATTTCCTGTGAACACAACAGTCCTAATGTTTACTAGTTGAATAGAATTCCTGCTCTGGGGAATCTGTTGCATTTCCCTTTCTGTGTATAGTGTGATGCTTCTTATAGCTCTATTCCCAAAACTCTGGGGTCTACAGCTGTGATCTAGGGATCCTGGTGCTCAATGGCCCTCTGATGTGTGAAGGGGGTTTCCCTTGCCAGCACCAGATGGTGGGCAATGGGCAGGATGCAACACTTAGATTTTCCTGGTGTTTCATAGCCTAAGAGAGTGATTGATCTAGGCTGGCTCAGTTTTCTCTCCCTTTCTCTCATATACCAGAATGCAGTCGGCCGTTCCCCATTCGCAAGATCAATGGTGCTTAGAGCTCCAGGTTAGGGATCTGGGTACACCATATGGCAGACAATGGACAGAGTCTCACTCTGTAACTCAACTCTCTGGTGTTTGGGGCAGCAATAGGAAAGCACCTGTTCTGGGTCAAATCTGCCATGTCCCTTTTTTCCTCCCATGTCTCATAAGATGCAGTCTACAGCACCCCACCCTCAAGTTCTGTGGCACTGAGTGTTCCAGGTCAGGGCACTGGTTGCTCAGTGGCATTCTTATTGGAGTAGAGGAGTCACTAAACAGAGGGCAGGATGTCACATTGCCTCTCAAATCTCTAGTGCTTGGAATAAAGAGGAAGCTGATTGCTTTGGCCTGGCCTTGTTGTATCTCTTTTTCTCCAATGAGTCTCATTGGATGCATCATATAGCTCTCCATCCACGAGTTCTGTAGTTCCAAATGCTCAAGTATAGGAATCTGGGCACTCAGCAGATCTCCACTAGGGGCAAGACATTTGTCCCCTGCCAAGTGCCTGATACAGTAGTGAGCAAGGACTTCCTGGACTAAGGGGAATGTGCAGAAGACAAGGTTTCCTTAACCAGCATTCAGAAGCAAAGTAGGAAACCTGTCTGCCCTTTAGAATACAGAGGCTGAATCAGAATATCCAGGGGCTCTATAAGCATGCAGACAACACCACCAAGATAAGTCAGTGTAAAGGGCAGAGCTTCTCATTGGCTTTTATGCGATGGGGAAAATAAGAATCTACAGGCCACTAATTGTAGGCACTGGGGCTATTCCTCTTAGTAAGCTCTATGAAGTTACTGGGCATTTAAGGCCAGGTTAATTCCCAGAGGCACTTTAGCAAAACAAAGAGATAGGAACTAGAGGTTTGAGGTTGGACTACTTACCCTTTGCAGTTCCATGCCACTGGTAGTTACAACCATCTTGGACTGGCACTGTCCAAGTTTCTTTCCCAAGTATGTATCCAGAATAGGAGTTTAGGTGCAACCGGTCTTAAGAATGAACACAAGGCAAGTGTCAGCAAGGAGGTAGCTCTATGGCTTCAAGATCTGGCTAGGGTTGGCAATGGTGGCAAATGCCTGCAATCCCAGCATTTGAGAGGCTGAGGCAGGAGGATTGCCATAAGTTTGAGGCCAGCCTAGACTACACAAGCAAGTTTAAGTTAAACCTATACTACATAGTGAAACTGTCTCAAAAAAAAAAAAAAATATCCTGCTAGGGTGGGTGGATGGGAAGGATGTGCCACTACTTGCCGCTGTTCAATGGCCCAGCTCTTGTGCTCAGCTGATTCTCTTCAATAGAAACACTTTATACTTGATGGCAGGATACCTCCAAAAATGGCAGCTACCGTGCTTTCCATGCCCTTCCATTGCTTTGTCTTCCATGCATTCCATTAAAATAAAGAAAAAAAGAAAGAAAAGATCACAAATCTGCAAAAACAAAACAAACAAAAAAATCCACCAAAGCAAAAATACCTAGAACCAGTTTGGGCTATTAAGTCACAGGATCATCTGACACTGGCCAAAGAAGAGAAGGAAGCCAGAGAAGCTGCAAGAACAATGCATAGGTGGCAGCTTATCTGAATTTTGCTTTGGTTCAGCCATATACATTTCTCTGGGTTCCTGTTTTGCAAGAAGAAAGAAAAATCCCTTGTAAAAGACATGCCATTGTGCTCAGTGTGACTCCACTGGAAGTGTTAAATCACAGGCCTACTGCAAACACTGGTTAAAGTGATGGTCTCCATGTATGGCTAAGTCAGTGGCACACAACTGTGCTTTCTCCAAGGCCAGGGATTCATATGCAAGCCATTCAACCTTAGACTCAGGTAAAAAAGAGCCACGTAAAATCAGCCCACTCAATATGCACAATGTAGTAGCAAGAAATGCCAATCAGTACAAGCACCAAAATACACATTCAAGTAGCCTCTATGTGTATGTCTGGACTTTAGAAGGGAGCTTACAGGCTCATGGTTTCCAACAAGGGTGTCTTTCTTCAGCCAGAATTCTGCACAACTCTCCACCGTCAACATTATTTGTTTGCCCTATCCCACAGGACAATCCTTTTTTTCATTTTGAAGAGGTCAGTGTTGGCACATCAGCTGGTTGATGGTCAAGATTTTGATGGAGCAAGGAATAGTTTACTAAACTTGTGTGACATCCAGGTTGAATGACTGTTGGCCTAATTATATATGCATACAGGAGGCATATATGCTTATTTGTGATGGATAGAGGTAGATGGTTGAGGAGGAGAGCTTGAGGTATGTTGAGGTTATTACTCCAGAACTTCCCAGTATTGTTACAGAACTGAGAATTGAGTAAAACAGATATGCCATCTTAGCTAAAGTACAATTAGCCCTAAGCATAGCATCAAGCACAATTTAGAAACAGGTAAACTGTCATAACTATTAATTTTGGACCTTCAAGCAGAGAAGCAAAATCTAGCTATATAACAGAACCAATCACAATTTGGGAGCTTGTGTGCAAAGTGATTCCCCATGGTAGCGTGGTTTTTTCCCTGTGGTGGGGAAATTTAAGAAGGGTAGTGAATAGAACAGAAATAACTGAAAAGAAATAAAGTAGAAGACAGGCTTGAGGACAAAGGATGATCATGTAAGCTGTGGTAAACTAGAAAATATGGCAGAAGATAAAGAATGAAGGAATAAGCAAGGGGTTAGTGAAGCTGACCAGAAAAATAGAGAGAGTATTCACTCATGTGAAAATATAAGTCTAGAGAGGTAAACTGAAGAAACAGGAAAAGAAGACAAATAGATTTGCAGAAAAAGAAATGTGAAAGACAAAATAAAACAAGAAAAAAGAACTGGAAAAAAACAGCAAAAAAGAAAAATAAAATAAAATTTAAAGATCCAAATTTCTCTGGTGTGTACCAAAAGTCCAAAACTACTCCATAACTCTGCCCAGCCTGCAGTAGAGTTTGTGTTGGATTTGAGGCTAATCTTGGCCTCCAGATATGTGGCCCTTGGGCCAGAGTCTTGAGCCAGTACTTTCTGTATGTCCCCTATCAGCCTTCCACTCCTTACCCTGTTTCTCTTGGCAGCTGCTCTCTCCAGGTGCTGTCTTTTCAGAGAGACAGGGGTCTGTTATCAGTCCCATGCACCTTTGGCTCCTCCTGTTCCTTATTATCCTTTTATGTTCCTCTTCCACTGGAAAGTCTCTGTACTCTCAGGTCATTTGTTGCAGGGTGGTGTGGGATGGTGTGACATTGTCTTATTCCCTGCTCCTGCTGATGCAGTCCAAGGCTGCTCAGTCCCAATTCTTACTCTTCTCCCAAGGTAGGGTGCAAACTTCCTATTCCTTACATTACAAATTTCACTGCCTCCATCACCCACTTCTGCTGTAGTCTGTAACTTCCTCAGGCAAGATGGGGTTATGTGGGATTCCTTTCTGCTCCCACTCCTGGCAAGATGGGGACATTCTGAGGCTGCACAATCCTGAGGTACAAGGCTGTTTAATTCCCTGTGCTTCTCTACCCACAGGTCATGCAGGAGGGGTTAGCTATTCCATTTGCTACACATAACTGTAGACTTTAATCTTGTTCCTGACAGTTTCAGTTAGCACTCTGGTGCACAAAGGAGTAGAAAGAAAAAGAAAAGAAAAAACAAGGAATGAAAAAAAGGAAAAAAAAAAACCCAAATTTGCCAATTATCGGGGATGGAGCAATTCATGTCAGCAGAATTTATTGCTGAACTGTAATGTCTTCTGATTGGAAAAAGGCAGAAGAGACAGGGAACCTTATATCCAAAGTCTATCCTGTATGGCTTGATGTGGCCACATTTATTTTACTATATCCTTTTTATTTTTCTTCTTTTAAGATTGCAGGTATGGCAAGCAGTTGTTTGAATCTGGTAATCCACCAGCAGCCAGATGGGCTGGCTGGCTGTTTTTTAAAAACCTTTATCTACGTTTTGCTTGATCTATGAATCTCTTATGTCAGACTGATTTTAGTTTCAGGTTGTATGTTCCTCGCCTTTCTTCCAATTACCTGTGTTTTAGCTGAATTTCTCTAAGAACAAGGCTCTTCCTCTATTCAGCTATGTTGTCTAACCCACCCTTATTTTTTTCTCATTGCTGAGACAAAATACCTAACACCAAAAGTTAAGAGTAAAAAAAGGTTTATTTGTCTCAGTTTGAAGAGGTTTCAGTCTATATTGAGCTGGCTCTAAGGCAAGGTGGTATGGCAGAGGGGCAACAGTTTATGGTGGCTGAGGTGTCAAAAAACAGCAAAAGAAACAAGAGCAAAAGGGAGGAAGAAGACTCTTTTCCTCCCTCATATGATATGCAGGCTATCCACACTAGGGCTTGTGCAGCACTCACACCCCCAAGCCCAGCACTAACCAATCACAAACTCTAGGTTCAGCCACCTCTAAAAAGCCCACCTCCATGACTGCAGGAGGCTTTGGGAGGTCATCCAAATACAAACCATAATAACAAGTAACCTTGAGATGGACATTTGGATCCCCTTTGTGACTCCACTCACGACTTTATTATAGAAAATTGAGGAGCATTTCCCAAGGGTTTGTTCTACAGAAGTCCATCACAACCACAAACACAGGAAGAAGCTGTTTTCACAGTACATAGGTCCCACTAAAAAATGAGTCAAAGTGAAAAGAAGGAAAAGTGAAATGATAAGGCAGAAGAAAAATAAATGATGTGGTTAGTGATAACAACTCAACTTCTGTGAGATTTTTAATCCAGACTCTGGAAAACAACTTGAAAAAGAAATAGACAAGTAGTTCCCCAGGAAACAGAAGGGATCTCAAAGGAAAATTACAAATTACAGAGAAATTGAAGAAACAGAACACAGTGTGTAGAAGGTAAGAGACAATCACCCCTTCTTTGGGTTCCTGGCTCATGGCTTGTGGCCTGTTGTACATGGGGGACAAAGGATGGCAAACCTACAGAGACAAAATGAACTTTGGGGACTCCAGGGATAAACGTACCACCAGAATTGAAGGAATGGGTTGTTTCTGTGATCTGCAAGGTGACCATGAAACACTGTACCTATTGACTGTTTCCACAGGGGACAGCTGGTGAGGAACTAATATAAGCACCTGCCCTATCCCTGAAAAAAATGCTCCGTCAGACACAATCCTGGGGAAGCTTTGATTGTTTGAAACCAAGAGCCATGTGGCTCCACTCTAGAGCTCACAATGTTATGGTCCCAGAGTGACTGGATGACAGACAGCCATGAGAGACAACCACAGTGAGGGTACAGACCTGAAAGAGACCCCATGAGGGGTTTGAGCTAAAGGACAGAGGCCCTGCTTCTGTGGCTAGAGGCCAAATCCTGCCTGAATTGTTCTGGAAATGAAAATAATAGCATTGCTGTTATTCCCCTATTATTTAGATGCCTGTATCCAGCAAAAATCTGGGCTCAGTAATCTTCCTTACCAGCTTGAACAGGAATATATCTCGACTTGGGCACTGCTCAAAAAGTGTAGACCTTGGAACAAAGTCATGCATTCAAAATAAAAGAAAAAAATTTCTTATATTTCTTTGTGAGTGTAGATTCCTTTTTCCTTTCTCTTTGTCACTAGATTATTAAAGTGTTGGGAATTTTCCTTTGTTCTTTGGCCTTGATTATCTTTTTTCCTCTTTTTCTTGCTTTTCCCTCTTGGGCTTTCTTTTGTCCCTCTTCTGCCTTTTAACTTTTTCTCCCTTTACTTTTTTCTCTTATTTTTATTCCTTATCCAATTTTTTCTCCTTTTATTTTTATCATCTATTTCTTACCAATTTTTTCTGGTTACTTTTACCTAATTCTATAAAATGCTTCTACCCCGATAGGATCATTTGTCCCACTTTTCTGTTCTCCTTTTCATATCATATCATTCAATATTTCAATTTTTTCTTCTTGCATTTCCCTGTTCCAAAACCCCTATATCTTAATAAAATAATCATAAAGTTTTATTGGTTTTTAGATAGTTGACTCTATAAAATTACTGTGGAATTCTTTCGGACTATTAGTGGAGATATATGTGTCTAATATAGTGCATATTTTATTGATGTTTATTGATGTTTGCTCCCCAATTTTTGTATTTCTTCTTTATAGGTAAGGGTGATACATAATTGGATCTCATACTGTTAATATCCAGTTTGTCTTTGGTGATGGTATGTAGCTGACATGTTTGATATTATCTTGTTCAAACAATAATTACTATTAATGGCTTTCTTCAGTAAGTCAACACATAGATTACGTTTATGACATTGAAAAATTTCGTCCCAAAACTTCAACTCCTGGAAAGCCAATCCAGGAAATGTCAAGGAGAAAAATAGTATAAATCACACACAAGAATGCATAAAAGGATAACAAAGGAGCTGAGAAAAAATATCAGAGAAGTACTTAGCAGCATCACAGAGGACA